CTCAGTGCTCTCGGGGAGACACAGCGAGCTATAGCCTATAAGCACAGAATACTAATCCTGTTAAGAGACACCCTGAGCAGATAGTCTCCACATCCACACGTTTTACTTCATTCATTCCAGGAAAAAAAAATATCACAGCTACACCGCATGCAATTATTCTTTGTCATCGAGAGAGTGGTAGTCGTGTATGTTTCCCCGTGTGTGTGTGTGTTGTGTGCGTTGGGGGCATTTGGGGTTATCAAAACACCTGAATGAGCTGTACGCCAGTACGGTGTGCTAAAGACACACACAAGAAAACACACACACACACACATGAGTCTCTCTGCTCTAATTACCAGGGAAGGAAATAGTATTCCATGAGGAAGGGATGAGCTGCATGTGTGTGTGTGTGAGTGTTTGTTAGTGACGGACCACTGGCTCTGGCTCAATGCGAGGGAGATAAGGTCCCAACAGCATCAGCCAAATCCCGGTCCTCCCTCCCTCTCTTTCTCTCTCTCTCTCTCTCTGGCCCCCTCCTGTGTCTCTGTTCCTCCCTATATTTCACATAACGAAAAAAAGAATCCACAAAATCTGTGTGGTAATGAGAGTCCCCAGTGATAGCAGGATAATGATCCTTGAAAGCACTTCGTAACAGGGCTGCGCGGTGGTGTGGTGGGCTTCGGCTCTAACGTTTTCTTATTTCGCCCCGTGGTCGTCTGTCCATTCGTTAAAGCCAGAGTCGCTGTCTCAAGCTAGCAAGAGGTAGCTTTAAAAAGTGTTATTTAAATAATGCGTGTGTGGTGCGCAAGTTACGGCCTCCAGTTCCAGGCACGATTTAATGTGTGTGTGTAATTCATTTTAAGGACAGCGTGGTGACTAGTACAAGATAATGGATGAGACAACGGCCAGACGGAGGAGAACGCGGTGTCACTGTTACCACCACATATAAAGCTATCACCTGGCCCAACATCACATCTATATATCTGTATATCTCTAGAGTGGTTGCCCATCCGATGGCATACATAAACCTATAGTTACACATTGAGGTAAATCTGACGTACACCACTAGTTAAGCCACTGTTGGAGCAGTGGAAGTGACACAATAAGGAGGTCCTCACTGGAGCTCTAAATCCTTCTGCCCTGTGGATCACAATCCCTGAGAAAAAGAGTGCTGTGAAGCATCCAACATTCATCATGGTGACATGTTCACCGCTGTGCGAGCAGCGTTGTGGATGCCGCACGCTTACACACACACACACACACACACGCGCGCTCAGCGACACACTTATGTCAACACAAATAGGATCACACATGCAGATGGGTGGATCAAGGATGATCAAGTGCAAATATTTGATCCTTCTTCATCCCTCCATAGTGTCAACTGCAGTTGTAAATTACCTCTATAAAAGCAACCGTTACATGTTTTTGTGACCTTCTGAAATGTATTTCAGGCGGTGAGTATTTGTCCATCTGAAGCTGTTGTAATAGGTCGTTCTGAAGCATTCATACGCTTGTTGCTTTGGTTACACACTGTTCTCCGTCTCTGGTTCGTAGGGATGTAACCTCTGTGAGGCCGTAGCAAATGCTATCCGTTTCCTGCTATGCAGACTGCCTTTCAACCCTCATAGAGCCGCTGAAAGCTTCTAGGAGGTATGGACCCGCGGCACAGAGCTCGACACAATGAAAATGTTACCATGCTGAGGAGAAGACAATTAGTGAAAACGGGAAGGTGATACACAGCAGCGGTGTTGCCGTCTTACACGTTAGATGTCAGGTATTAAGTGTGTCTGTGATGGGGGGTGTCGAAGGGAGCCGCTGTTGATTGACAGAACAATATCTGGATTTTTTTCCCCCCTCTTTCTTTCTAGTAGACCCGGCAGTCAGTCACATAATGTCTCAGGAGCTTTTAACGCTGAGACTGTGCTGGATAATATTTGGTTTCTGGGAATTGCATCATGAGCAGGGGAGTTTGAAAAAATGTGAAATGTGAAGAAATTGGGCCTGTGACTCAAGTGAATGAATGTGCAGCGTGTTCATATTGATCTATGTATGTATCGCCTCGTATGCAATATGGAGTGATATCGGCAGCTTGTCCACTGAGTTTTGCTCTTGAGGGTAATTGAATGTCGTCGTAAAGACAGATGTATGCGGCGCCTTCATTTGCAAAATCAAAGTAGAAGTATATATATTCAGTGAGTAAATAAGTAGGGAGGTTATAGCTAACTTATTTTTAATGGCATCATTTATTTTCCCTTAATAGCCAATTTATATGGTAACGAAACTGTATTTATTTAACTGTGGTTTTCTCGGTGCCAGAGAGTGATGTAGTTATAGATTTGATGGACAGACAGCACCTTTAAACTGTAAGGTACATTGAAAATATAACGTCACAGTCCATTCTCTTTTTTAATTAAGATGTGTAAAAGAAGTTCAAACAATGTGAGCTATTGCAAGACAAACTGTAATTCAGTGATTGCACCTGTCATACTCATAATAAACATGCAGTATTCTCAACAATAACTAGAAATCTGTGCTTCAGGCAGTCAGAACTGCTGAGTTTTTTGTCGTTAAAGGCATTACACAACGCGCTTAGTGAAGGTCAGTCGGTATAACCGACTATTGTAATCCCTGACAGAATAACAATAGGAAGATATAGTGCTTTCCTCCAAAGCTCTTTATAATTTGCCTCTCATTCATCCATTCACAGACACACACACACACACACATACAACAGCAAGCTCCCATGCTACCGACTGAGGTGATGATGAATAAAATGAATCTATGCTGCGTTGGCTTTTTCAGATTGTTTGGTGAAGCCTTTATTTTGAAAAGTCAAGCTTATGTGCTTTATCTTTTGTCACAGCTTTGTCATGTATCAACTCTAGAAACATTCAATATACAGTATGATGCATGTGGTGTTTGCTTTGGCCGGCAACTGACAGTTTCTGTCGTGCTTTATCTGACTCTGAGAAGTTTAATCGTGCTAAAATTGGGGGCAAATGCATCTCAACGAGTCTGCACATGGAAGTGTGCTTTTTCTCTGGAAGTAGAAGAGTAAAGTGTTTGTCTGCATTGAAAATAAAGGACTGCAAGAAGAGGCACAGAGTTAAAAGAGAACAGAAAAGGATTCAGAAACGGGGTGATGGTGGGACAGAGCATCGTACGTAGTATTTATCTTTTTCTTGCTAGAAAAACAGGACAGGAAGAGGATGGAGGGAGCGTTCTGGCTCTCACTCTGACAATGCGATGTCAGGTCTACAGCTATTCTGCTATTTCAGGGTAATTAGGACATTGGGGAATTGTTTGGAAGAAAAAGCATTCTACACGCGAAGGCTTGCCCACACTTGGTCCGGTCCTCATCATGGGCTCTCTGGCCGGTGCAGTTGTGTCTATGAGTGGTGAGGGATTATAGAGTGACCAGCTGCTAACGAACATGTACGCAACATCGGTGCCTTTGAGGCGAGACGCAGGAAAGCCAACGCGGCTCCGAGATAGCAGGCAACTGGCTTATTTTAAGTGTCACCCCCCCCCCCCCCCCCCGTTTGTTTTTCTGCATCGGTCCTCTTGGGCAGAGTCTCTTCCTCTGTCCCTCACGTTATCCCTCTGAGTCATTTAGATGATGAAATCCTCCCCGCTGATGGAATCCAGAGAACGATAACCTTCCCATCAGCAAGGTAGGACTCCCTAGAGCTCTCCACGTATGTGTGCCAGTGTCTTGTAAAAGGCATAAGAATAACTGGGTGCTAATTAGTGCTTTTCACTGTGCAAACATGCCTGTAATACACCCAGAGGAAAATGATTATGTACTTGCATGTATTTATAAGGCAAACTACATATTACTACATGCTGTAAATACGTTAACTTCTATATTAGGAATTACGTTGAAGGAATTACTCTGCAGGCAGTGATGAACTAAAACGGATACGAGCGCTTTAGCAGAGACGCAGACAGCCATACATATCCCCATGTATTATGTGTGCGATGGGATTGTCTCCTTTGTGTTAAATTCATCGATGTGTGAATGACCGAGGATGTCCATTTATGTGTGGGTGTGCGTGCACATGGGTGTCAAATTGCATCTTGTCCTCACACTGTCAACAGATGGTTCCGCACACAAGCACATGTGCAGCATAGTAAGCGAGGAGCCACGAGCCACACCTCTTGGACACATGGGGAATCGCTAAAATATAGATCAGAAGGAGCCATTTACAAATCTTTTGATGGAAGGTTTAAAGGGCTCCTTTGAACTTCGCTCGTTTTTTAATTACACGCCAACAATGAAAATTCAAATAATAAATTCAGGCATAGTCATGGGACCGCCCTGAGCTGGTATCAAAAGCCAGAATAACAAGGGAAACTTTTCTTGCCCTACGAGCTGGGTAAGCAAGTCAATAATTATTTATGTAGGCTTTTTTTTGTTTTTCAGGGCTAGGAAAATACACACTTCTTTATCTTACTGTGATATCACTTGGGGTGCCAATTTGATATGTTTTAAGATTTTTAATATTGTGATTCCAAAAGATTTGCGACTAGATATTTTAATTTATTCTAATTTTAAAAAAGAAATTTAAAAAAAATGTTTTTACACAAGGCCAGGAGAAAAAAAAATTATAATAATAATAATTAATAATTAAATAATTTCAAGACTTTTACTTTGGAAAATTGACAATGAAAAAATGTCTTACAATAAGCATGTGTTTAGTCCGAGGAGTCCTTATAAATCATGTTCATCAGTCACAAATTATATACGAGTATTTTTTGCCACCAAAAAAAACTAATTTTGTTTCTGTGTTGTGTTGAGATGTTGTCAAACCAAATATATGGCATGTTTCATCGACAACCCAAAGATCAACGAATGTTTTTTCATAGGTTTTTTTTTGTCATTAAAAGATTAGAATGAAAGAAAAAATTAAATTGTGATATTTGAGTGAATCCATTTTTTACCTTTTGTAATTTTAGGAATGCTTGGGCCACAAAACGCTCCTAAGAAAGAAGCGTGCTTGTGTTTACAATAATCCTACCTTGTCTAACATCTCTGGGCGCTATGGCGATTGCATCGTTGGAATGCTGCTCGGTGACGCAGCAGTCATCGGGGAGAAACGAACCATTGCTGGGGCTGTGGGGCGTCTCCGGGAGCAACGGAATAGGTGGTGCCATGATGTTGTGGTTCGGACAGATACATCCTGTCTGGGTCATCGCACAACCATCTGCATCAGAAAGCCCCCGGTCTCCATTGTGGCCCGTGCGTAAACACTCCTCGAACCACCGGCAGAGCACGCCGCAGGTAAACTGGCTGGAGTTCTCGTTGTTGATGAGTAACACCTCTACCAGTCTCAGCTCCAGCAGATCCTTAGACACCTGAAGTGCATCCTCTGCCGGGTGTCTCGTTAAACATATCTGGACAAAGTTCTTATCAAACTGTAGGAAGGAGTACGGCGCCTCTGAGTTGGATTGGCTGCCACACAAGTCAATGACTTCCTGGTCCTTTGGAGCCGCCTCGTGTAAGTGAAGGGGACAGCTCTGATTGGCCAGGTGGTGGTCAAGAGAGAGGAGCATGGGGGAGTGCGTCCGGCAGATGACAGGCTGGCGGGTGAAGCGGAGGTAGAGGGAGTACTTGGTGGGATCGGGATTTTCCAGGGACCACGAGCAGCCCGCAGCCCTGGAGGGAAACAGCTCCCTTAGGGAGAAAGACCCATAGAGCACCCCAGCGACAAGACTGGAGCATTGCTGGGCGGCGGGCGAGGGGGACCCCTTCACCCCGGTGTCGGGCGCGCCGTGGGCAGCCCCATGAGCGGATTCCGCCAGGGCAGAGAGGGGAGCCAGAGCGAGGGCAGACCAGGCAGCCAGAGCCCCGGCCAAGGCCAGGAGAGAGGACAGCACAGACAGACACACCCCACCAGCAGTGTTCATCCTATGACATTCGTCCTGGAGGGGACGAGAGAAGAGAGGAGGGGGGGGGGGGGGGAGAGACGAGACGGTAGGTTAGACACATATATAAAACAACACTTGACAAAACCGACCTCACGTGTACAAAAGCAGAATTTTCTATATAACTGTCGGGAGTCCAGGCCAAAGGAGCATGTCCGGTTGGGGATGTCTATGGACAGATCGGTGCCTTGCCCGAGAGAATAACCTAGGTTCTTCTTCAAAAACACACACTGCCAGAAAAAGAAACACATCCCCGCTGGGCTGGATTAAAAGGGGTTGATGACTTGGCTTTTGAGACATGCACTGTGGGGCCTAATCTACCCTTCCTGCTGATACTTGAACACAAACACTGACAAATGAGCACATACACACACGCGCACACACACACACACACACACACACACACACACAAACCGACGCCTGCTGAGCAGCTCCCCCAAGGCTCTGGCAAACTATTACCATCACCAACACAGTAAGCGTCCTCCAGCAGTCTGATTTTATCCCACACAATACACACACATTGATGACAAAAAAGAAAAAAAAAACTATACAGCATACACAGTGTTTTATTATTTGCCTTGAAACTTTTTCAATACACACAACATTTTGCTTTGCCCCGAGTGTCTGCTCCATCACTCGAGAGTTTCGAGTAGTTCTGCATAAATGTAGTTTGAGTGGGAGATGGGAAATGTTCACACCACTCAACCCAAAAACCTTATGGCATAAACAACTTTCTTTCTAAAGTAAATCATTTCTCATCAGGAGAAAACTACTTAAAGCTGTGATATAAGGAATACAGTATTTAGCAAATCTGAAAAAATCAATGCACGCAACCACAAAACGAGGAGCTTTAAGTCCCGAAACAATTGGGTTACTGGGGGACTGTGATTTGTTATGAAGGAAAGAAAGAAAGATGCACCCATTTTACGTAAGTTGCAATAAAACTAACTGCACATAAACTAAGATTTGCAGTAAAGTGGACACCACTCCTCCTGTCCAAACTCACATTAACTAGTACATGTTTTGCAATACAAATAACTGCATTTAAGACCAGTATTACCATGGTTACCTTTCAAAATTGGTCTACCCACTAGTTAGCCAGTTAAAGCTGCTATAAACTGATGAAACTAACATTACTTTGGTGGAGATTAAATGATCAGGTTCCACAAAATATCATATGTCCGTTACGATCACCAACGGCCCCCTCCTCATAGTAACGCAGAAGCCACGTGTACCTGGATGGAAAATACCATATCCTACTTAACGCGTGACGCAGTCGCAGCACGTGTGGGCCTTTAAGCAAGCAATCAGCTTCACTGAGGCCAGCAGAAGCATGTACTTCACGGGATTTATGTAAGTCGCGAGGCTACCCGGCGTCGGACCCACAGTCTACGGGGCTAAGAGGCTGGGAACTGCGCTTATCCCTCAGCCCGTCAAGAGGTGACCCCACAGGGATCGGACAGTAAGAGGCACTTGGGCTGAAAGGAGGGTGCTGCTAACCGGAGCTAAAAGCACACGAATGGCAGACGGAGGATGGGGGGGGTTACAGAGCGTGCAAGGGTGTGGAGGAGAGGGTGTTATTCCAATTATACAGTTATTGTAATTGTGAAAATACTTATTATACAGCATGAAAAATAATCCGTCTCTTTAAGATCTTAGGCATTCCGCTGATGCTAACTCGCAGTGATTTACAACGCGGCGAGTAACGTGCTCAAGGACAATTCAGCAGCACTGCATTTATTTTACGACGACCAGAGATGTTTTTTTGCAGACATTCAGCGTGTTACCTTGAGGTCACGGGAAGGTCTCTTGTGTTAAAGGAGCACAGTGATGCAGAATTGGCTGCGATGCGGTCACAAAAAAGTTGAAGCTTGAAAGGGTGATATGTAGGATTGTTGAAGGAGATTTTAATGGTGACTTTCTCCTTTTTCTCCTCTGAAATAATAAAGCTATTTCACTGTGTCTGTAATGCAATACCAGTTAAACGACTGAGTTACTTTCACCAAAATAATTGCAAAAGTAGGCCTAAGCATTATAAAATACAATACAAAAATGTTTTACGTGTATGATTACAGATCGCCATATCAATGGGGAGAGGGCCGTCTCAGTGCTGCATATGCTGTTGGTTCTATGACAATAATATCTAGACGACACATATCCAATTCTAACTGTCATTATATGATGGGCGAGCATCTTATCTCGGAAGCCCACTTAGGTCATTACAAATCATCTGGTTGTTTGAACAGTTTTTTCCACCATTAGCATTGATAACGGGGGCAGAATGTATGTATGTGATTGTCACCGCTTTATCTGACAGTAGCAGAGCACAGTTCATCGGGGATGATGTCATCACCTTGTCCGAGAGCTCTGTTCTATGGAGACCAGTTCCAGGACCATGCGTACATTCACATCTGGTGGTTATCGCTTTTATCAAGAGCATTTTCTTTTCTGCTAATGCATTGGCCTAGGTGGCATGGTGTTAATAGTATTAGTTTTATAACCGTGTTACTGCTCAGAGTAAATTATTACTGTAATGCAAACCTAATAGATTATAACATGCACAAAGTAGATGTGCTCACCAACATGCTGAAAATACAGTGCATTAGACCACACTACATGAAGGCTTTGTAGTTACTTTCCCTTTCATCAGGCAGTGTTTGCTGTGGATCCGGCTGGTAGAGGTGTGACACAATAACCATAGCAACTGTGTCGTTTCCTTAAAAAGTCTTTTTTTCTCCACCTCCCTGCTCCTGTTTGGATTCTCACCTGCACATTTTTCACAAGACATAAAGGGTTTTTATGCAGCATTGTCTCTGGCTGATGTGACAATTTGACAAATGCACGGCGCAGTTGGGAAGGCTAATGTACCGTGTGGTAAAAAAAAATGCTTGAGGACATCATGCTGACTGGCGTACTACGGGGTTATAGACTATGCCATTTGATCACGCTCCGATTCTTTCAAACAAATATGTAATGATATAACACCGCATAAAGGCTCCAGCGCAACCAATGACACATTTCCTGCTAACAACGTGTCACTGAACTGTTAAATCCAGGGACTCTGATGCAATATATTCAAAAAGCCGGAACAGAAAGGCTTTTGGGTTCATTTTTATTTTAATTCTGCAAAGAAAAGAAGCTTACAGAGTCAGACACATATCAAAAGTGAAGATAAATAAAATTATAGGGCAGCCCATGCATAGGTAAAACCTCACGCATATTTTACGGATGAGAAGAAGTCAGAAGCGTTAAGCAAATTGTTTTTGGGACAATGAACAATGAATATTCATAGACCCGCAGTCTGTGCAAGAGAAGGCCCTAAAGTGCTGTCTCCATGAGGCCATTCTGTCCCACTTCACTCTAAAACAGCACTTTACTGTGGGCGACCATAAATATTCATTAGCTCTGATGTCTTCCTTCCACCTTGACATTAATGTTATCACCGAGGATAGCAAAATATGTATATTCCTCACTCCCTGTCGCTCTTTGCTCAAGGCGCCATCTTCATTCTTTAATGCAGTGAAGTGACAATATGACTCATCTCATTTTTGTCATAACTGTAAAACTGAAAGAGAATAGTGGCGAAACACTACGGTTCCAAACTAAAGCCACGGCGAGAAAGTTTCACCTCAAATAAGACCTTATTTCAACCAAATTTCCATTGTAAAATCATGAGAGTGCATTACCAGGTTTCCCTGTAAGACGCAGAGTGGGCAGTGCAAACCCAACATAAACCACCTGACCGCTGTTTCTAGTCACACGACTCTCACTGATGTGTTGCAATTTCTTTTACTTTTATTGGTGGTTTTATTTCATTTGAACGTTCAGTATTGTATGTCTGAACTTAATTCAGTCCCTGTACTGCTCCAACAACCAACTGTTCCCTCTTGGAATCAATACAATCGTACCACTTGTAAGTGTTGCTTAAATAACTTAAATAAGTCCATCATGGAAAAAGGATCCTGTCTTCCTCATCGCATCCCTTTATGTCAATTATAACTAAAATAATAGATGTTTTTTATACATACTTTTAGGGATACTAGTGCACCGGCTGTCTGGTTGACCGATGCAGACCCAATGGTCATTTTGTCTAAATAAAATGCCAGTGGCAAAGAGAATTTGCATCAAATATGAATGTATAAGGCGGCCCTTTACAAAGAGTATTCTTTATTCAAGAATGGACACTGTCCATGAATACCAATTAAAGAACTGGACCACAACTATCTCCCAGTAAACATTCTTGTCTCCTCTTGTGTATCTCCTTTTTCCCGAATCCTTTCCTCATCCGCACTACTCTGTGTTTCCTATTGGGCATCTCTAAGTGCAGTGTGGTAGAGAATGGTAGTGTCAAGTGTGTTTTTCTCCTTCGTGGCCTTCGGCGAAGATCAACGCGTGGTCCTTGTGTAGACACAAACACACACATTAAACCATGAACAAGTGGACAATGTCAGTTTCACACACAGGCACACATGCCACATCCGATGGAGTGAGTCCGTTTAATCAAAAATTCAAGACTTCATCCGGACACCAGAGTTTCTTTCTACTACTGATTAACAAGTCATGAACATGAACATCCTCATCTCTGGCCCGTCTCATCTTTTGTTTCACCCCACTCGGAAACTTTAGCTTTCCTCAAAGTCAAACTTTATTTACCCACATCTACATTGATATTCAGCCTCGTCTTTCATCTTAATAAGATCTGTTGGCCTTGAAACGGTATCAAGAACCAATGTTGTTCCGCTAATTGTGCCCAATTGACATTTAATAGTAATTTTCTTTGTCCTTTTATCAAAGCTCAGGCCCTAGCGCCATTAAGCCGGCGCTTTTAACTTGGCAAACAAGCTGAGAGGATCTCATGCTGTGAAAAGAGACGCTAGTACAAAGCCCCTCTCTTTCAGAGCAAAACCACAATTTTGTCCTCTGGTTATGGGATACGCTACACAACAACAAACACACATAGTCATACATTCATGTGTCCCGATGGAAGAACAAGGCGC